GCGAGTGGTGGGATCCACCGTGTATATACGGTGGCACCATATGGATAGCAGATTTGCTATGAATGGATTTGGATAGCGATGGAAGGACATCTGGAGCAAAGCATCTGTTGCGAGTGCAAAGAGATCTGCGTTGGCAACAGGAAGAGTGAAGATGTGGAAGATCACGTTGAGTGTTTATGGGTTCACAGATAGTTCTGGATATGTATATAGTAAAGAGAAAGAACAGTCACCACAGCTCATAGTGTTGGCTCCGCCTCCTGAATTAGATGGTGATGATGCACCTATAGGAACACCAATGCTGGTTTGCGGTCTTACTCGTGCAGCTTTAGCTAGACACCAAATTTTAGTGCAAAACAATGGACCACACACACGATACAGCTCAGACCAAGTACGTACGGGTGCACCTGACTATTACAGCGATGCTGTACCACAAGCTGTTGTACAGCAATCAGATGCACACAACGAAGATGTACACAGCAACACACACTCTCTTACACATAGTGCTCTTGCACAGCCAACTATCACTCATCATACACTCGTACCTATAGCAGCTGTAAATGACACACGTACACACACAGAACGTGTAGAATCAACACACGCTCACACAGCACGTGTAGACAACACCCACATGCACACAGCACGTGCAGGCGATACACAGGCGCACACAGCACCTGCTGACGGCACAGACGCAAACACAGCACATGATGAGGACACAACCTCAGACATAACACATGCTGAAGGCACACCCGCACACACAGCACATACACATACCTCACAAAGGTATCAGATATACAGCACATACACATACCTCACAAAGCACCTTACACCGACCCGCAGAGGATTTTCACTCTGACAAGGTGACCGAACTTAATAAATTGGTCGAAGTCATCTTTTCTAAGACGAAGGGCGAACATGCCGCATTAGTTTGTCGAGTCCTTCAGAGACTCAACGAACAAAACTTCAAGATTAACTAGAAGAAATGTCACTTCGCCATGAGCGAAATACAGCTCTTAGGGTATCGTATATCTGGGGAAGGTATTAAATCGACCCCGGTAAGGTGGAACGCCTGTTAGATTGGCGAACACCAACTACAAGAAGAGATGTGAACAGCATGTGTGAGTTTGTAAACTTCTTTTCAGATGGAGTACCACACTTGACTGCTTATCTTGAACCCTTTGGACACTTAAGATGTCATAAAGGCAAACTAGGAGACTTGTGGACTAAAGAGTGTGATGGCGCATTTAAGCGCTCAAGCACGCAATCCAACAAGCCCCTGTTATACAAGGACCAGTCGATGGCGTGCCGTTTGAAATAGCAACGGACGCATCAGACTTAGCATCCGGAGGTGTACTATACCAGGTTATAGATAATAAACCTAGGTATATACAATTATTTAGCCGAGCAATGAATGCATCACAGTTGAATTATCCAACTGTGAAGCAAGAGCTACTAGCCATAGTTGCAGCTCTAACACACTTCCGCGATTACTTATACGGAACAGCTTTTACGCTGATGTGTGATCAGAAGTCCCTTCAATATATGAAGGAGATGAAGCCAGACTCTCAATTACTGAGCCGATGGCATGATACAATATCAAATTTTTATTTTGATATCAAGCAACTACCAGGGATACATAACCATTTGCTGGATATGTTATCACGCTTCGTACCGGACTTTAATAAATCCGTACGTGAGATACTAGCCACTGATTGGAAATGTAACCCCAGGTGGTTTGGACTGGCTCAAAAGATATTTGGGCCACAAACAAATGATATATTTGCTGCACATCATAATGCACAACTTAAGAATTACAGGACTTTAATTTGTCCTTTGGGAGATGTCTTTCAACTAGACCTCTCCAAACATAATGCGTGGGCTAATCCACCATGGCAGTTAATTGCCCAATTACTAAATTATGTTCAAATACACAAAGCTATCATCACGTTGTGTTGCCCATTACGGAGTAAAGATCCATGGCTCAATAAATTAATAAGCATGATACAATGCGAGCCAATATATTTGGATAGGGAAGTAGATACTTACCTATATACATACTATAATATGTCGTATAGGTCCCATTGGAACAACCTAATGGACCCCTTCGGAGACCTTCCTTAACAAAGTCAAAGAATCGGAGATTCCACTCTCCGCTAGATTGAACGTTAAGCAGTTCAAAGGCAACACAGCACTTGAAGTCTGTGCACAAGAAATACAATCTACTAATGACACTACAGTTAAGAAGCGTCAGTCCCTAGCTAGGACTCGGTTTAATAACATAAAGTCCAAGCCCGAAGTCTTTCAACCCCTATTTTTAAAGGGAATAATGAAAGATAATCTCGAAGTATATACTCATATAATGCGACTATTACATAAGTCAGGTGTATCAAACGCACACGAGCGCACTCATGACACTCATGCGAAAGAAGGACAAGAGTCTGGAAACACTACAGACTTAGAGACCTCGCAAGTGGATTCTCAACACTCTACCTTTATTTTGGTGGAGCAGAATGATAAAAACATTCTTGCTTGGCTGACGCAAAACCATAAGCTGAAGCACCAGAACGTAGTAGACGCACTTAAAGATGCTAAGCGAAATGGAATCGCGCACCCTAAGCTGGCAACTTTAGTTGACAGAGTATATCAGTCATGTACAGACTGTGATCTCAACCAGAGTAAGCGCTATGGGTTCGCACCGCTTAAGAGTGTGACTGAAGATGTTCCATGGCGCAGGGTCATCATTGATCTGGTTGACCTGCCTACGTCCGAGCACAAAGGCGACCGTTACGTATGCCACTTCTTTGATATGATGTAACGGTATAACTTGCTCTATCCTTTAAAGGACAAGAGTACGCAGACTGTGGCAGAATTATAATGCCAAGTCTTTGCTGACCACGGGTGGCCAGGTATCATGTGCACTGATAACGGTAGCGAGTTCTGCGATGACATAATGGAATCGTTAGTACTCGTATCAGGCATGTGCCATAAAAGATGTGTACCATATATACCGCAAACACAAGGCGCTAATGAAACGCGCCACAGAAGACATAAGTTATTCTTACGTACTGCATTAACGGATGATGCAGATGATTGGCCGTACCACCTTAAGTGGGTACAAACACATATGAACGAGTGTGCTGATCCGGTTACAGGAACAACACCCGCTCATTATTTTCGTAGCAGATATAGTGAGTTACAAATACCCTTTAACAAGGACGAACTTGATCACCATGGGTTACCATGGTTAGAGAAGGTACAACGCATACACAACGTTGTATATCCTTGCTTGCGAGAGTCACGTAATGTGGCCTTATTAAAAAGGCAAAATAGATGGAATGCTACCAAAAAGATAGCAGAGTATCAGGTTGGAGACAGAGTTAACATCCGTCAAAGTATTTCCGATACTACCGTACTAACATCGAAATGAATAGGACCATACATAATCTCTGTAGCCGACACTAAAAGTGGAGCCTATGAGGTTAATAACCCCGACGGTTCTAGTGCTTTAAATATAGGCACTAGTCAGATTCTGACTACTGAGATTATTCTCGCAAGACATGATTCTACTGCACCTCTTGACCGCTCCGAATTCAAAGATTTTATATGGAGAACGGATAAAGGAGGATATACATCCTATCGTACACGCTTTATAGACGGTACAATCGCTGAATTAACTTCAGACGCTTTTGACAATCAGGACTATTTAAAGTCCTTTCACAGAAAATGGCGTAAACGCCTACATAAGTCACAGGCTGACAAATACTGCTTGTTCCCATCGTCTGAAGGCACGGAAGTTAAAATTTACCCGCCAACAGCGTTTATCCCGAGCTTTACTGCTCATCCTTCGGATGTTCCAAAAACATTGAAGCGTATGAAACGTCCAGTCGACCACCACGGACATACTGTACCTAAACCCAAAACTCACAGGGTATCCGAGAACGCTTAACTTCTCCGCCTGAGAAACATTAACTATACGTTATGCTACTTAATGTTGTCCACCCGTTTTCCTTTCTCGCTTTTTTAACCCATAATCAGCTTGATTGAGCAACTTGCTTCTCCTGTGTCTCAAAGCTGGGTGGGGGCTGTGTAAAAGCCGGGCCTCCACATTAGAATCTTGTAATATAAACGTACTCTTGATAGTACGTAAAACGTACTCTTAAATGTACGTAAACTCTTAAATGGTTTTTAACGGTTTTTATTAATTGAATACCTTTTCCATTTTATATATCAGATATTTGGACAAGGCCATTAAAAGGCCCCAGTAAAATACCAAATATAAGATTTGGTCTAGTTCTATTTATAGAACTATATTAACCTTCCAAATCTATATATATATGAATACTTCGGTAGCGAGATGGCTCAACCGAACATAGGTTTCTAAGGACTATTAGCGTTGCTTAGTTTATCCTCCGTTCAGCCAACCAGATGTGCCAGTCTGATGAAGGCTAAGTCGGTAATTCTTGATAAGTGGCAAGTTATTGGTTAATGCAATAACTATGGACATCAAGAGTATTTTTTATTTATTTTTATTTTCTAAAGATAGGATTTTATGAGTCTCGGATTCGCCCCAACGAAACATACCATAGTTTCTAATAGAGCGACAACGAAACACTAAATAAAATCCCTTCGGCGAAAACAGTACTGAGAGGATTATATATAGGCAATGTCTCAGCCTCACAATCCCTCAGAGTATTGCTGTTTTCACGAGGCATACCTAAATTTACTAGAATACTCATTTCGTTCATTTACTTTTAAATTTTGATATACTTAGACTTAACCTAAGCGTTTATTTACTCTAAGGCGTTAATATCGCCTTGATAGACCGAAACCTACAATTCGATGCTATTTTCCAGCATCTCCAATTTGCGGAGACTACGACTGACACACTAAACCCAAACAGTCAAGACCACCGCTGGTCTCCTGTGAAAGGGTTTGTAGACGCTATCAATGATCACAAGGATCACACAATAACCGCCAGCAGCGTGATTTGCGCGGATGAGAGTATGAGCCGATGGTACAGCATTGGTGGCCAGTGGCTCAATGGGGTCCTGCCCCATTACGTGTCTAGGGATCGGAAGCCGGAGTCCGGCTGTGATATCTGGACTGCTTGCTGCGGGAAGGGCCACTTTTTATTAAAGTTGGAGCTTGTGCAGTCGGCGGATGACGAGAGAAAACATGAAACTGACCATCAACATGGTACAGCGACAACTCTGCGTTTGGTACAGAAGAACTTTGGCAGCGTACGTGCCGTCTATGGTGTTAGCTGGTTTGCTAGCTATCACACGGCCGCTGCGTTGCGTGAAAAAGGTTGCATTTTACTGGTGTCATTAAGACCGCCACTAAGATGTTTCCCATGACGATTCTGGGCCGCGAAGAACTGACTGGAGAGGGATATTGGTTCTCCATGGTGACCACAGATTCAGCTAATAACCAGTATATTGCATTGGTTTGGTCTGATAGAAATATAATGTATTTCATCAGCACTGGTCTGGTGCGGCATTGGCTCATCCCCATCCTCGCTCCTCGACCGAATTATGACGGATAACTTGGTCCTACTCGGTATTTCGTACACTGCACTAACCCATTCCACGGCAGTACACGGCGCAGACCCGATCCGTACCACAAAGGTGGGTACGCTACTTAGTAGGTCAGCAAGCGAATACATGGCACATTTGATGGTATCAGTGCTTTGTCAGCACCGGCCCGAATTGACTCCGCGCATATCCTCCATCGTCGACTCACTTGGCCCAAGCTTCAAACGGGAATTTACTGACCACTTCTTCCCATCGATCTTTCCCGAACCACTACAACGGCTATGAGAGCCATACCATACGTTCATTCATTATAACATACATACATTGTAACTTATCTTTTTTGAAATAAATAATATCATCCCTAAGCCGGGTACCACCATCTCTCGTAAGAGAGTGAGAAATGACAGTAACACGATTGCAGCTAATGAAGTGCGTTGCCAACAGCCCCAATTAGTATATCGGTATTTTACACACAACGATATCGTCGATAGACATAGTAGACACAGGCAGGATACACTCAATCTTGAGAAAAAACTCGAGGTTAGAACCTGGCACAACGCTTTGGTACTTCTTTGCTGGCTATGTGCATTGTTGATGTTTTTGTTGTTGTACAAAGGGACTCGCACACCAACGGAGAAACAGGTTGATCAACGAAACTACTATATGATGTTATCAAAGGAATTAATTAACAATAAATATGAGTCACGTGTTACACGTTCAGTTACAGCCGCAATTACAATCCGTCCAGAAGTAACTACTTCTGGGGTAGGCGCACATGCAACTCCCATCAAAAAAATTGAAACGAGAAAGAGAAAGAATAAGTCTGGGGAGGTTGTAGAAGGTTTGCGTGCTTATCGGAAGTACTGCAAGTACAGTGGATGTTTGAAGAAGAAATGCAGTACTGGGGATGAATGTAGTACGTGTGGTATGGGTGTACACAAGGCCTGCTTCATGGCACACCTCCGGGAATTAAATCCCCGCGACGAGGATTGAGCTACACTTACACATCATGCATATACAATTATAATAGAAATAGAAGTTATTTTTTATTAAATTCGGAAAACCCCAAATTTTAAAATTTATAGTGATTGATTGGAGTTGACTAAATTACTTTGGTTTAATTGGCTCAAAATACGTCACCTTTTTTCAAACAAAAAAATCGAATGCGAAAACTTATCAATATTCGATTTCGCCTAATAAAAATAGCGCCCAACAGGGCGGGAGGGGCGGTAGGATAGACACTAGGCTTCTTTTTTGTCATCCTGTGTGTGGTCGTAGCGGACCTGGTGTAATTTTAGAGGTTGCGGCTGTGTTGCGCGTGTCTGTGGGTATAGTATTTGGGAGTAGTGTTTGCCGTGCCAGTGGCTGTAGTAGGACTGGTTGTGGGTGTGGAGTGGGGGTTAAATGAGAGCGTATCAGGTGCAGTCTGAGAGCTGCCGTGATTGGGTGCGACCGGCAGGGGGAGTTGTGATGAAATTAGTGTTTGATTTTCTCTGATTTTCAGAAATTGATTTGTAATCAGAAATGGGTGTATCATCTAACATAAAATCAAAGTTGCGTGTGTCTATGATCGAACATATTGGATGCATTGGAGAGCATTCCTGTGAGACGTCGGTAATCTAGTTATTTACTGCTTAGAATTGTAAGTCGCGTGGGGTGGGCGTAACTGTTACGTTTCCAGTTGAAAGCTTTTGTGACCACTTGGCATACGAGGTAGATATAGGTAAATCTCACTATCACTTCAATGGTCGCATTACCATATTGACGATAGAAACTGTGCGGAGTTCGAGTCTATTTAGGAGAGCAGGTTTGATTTTTGTAATAGGTTTGTCTATATTAGAAGTTCGAAAGTATATGGCGCTAGGGACGGTGTTCGCGTAATCTAAACGTTGCAGTCGTATGCGTGGTGGCTTCGGTGTTGAACAGAGGATTAGTACTATCTGGAGAAATCAGAAGTGGTGTGCGATGTGGCATGTTTGCCATTGTAGCCTGAAGGTATGACTTAGGAGAATGTGCAGGAGTATGTGCTGTACGGTAGTGGGAATATGATCGAGTACGAGGTACGTGTGGAGATCTTTGATGATCCGCCTCAAGCCTGATTGGTTGTAGAGTTCGGTCGTCAGTGAGAACAGATGTGACTTTTGCAAGCGAAGACATCAGCTGGTGTTCTGAAACAGAACTGAGTGGTGAATAAGAGGCAGGGTCTGAATTCAATAAGAGAGTCATTATGTGATATATTATCGTGGCGATAATACGCTTAAATGCTACCAACCCCAGCGCTTTGTTGTCACGGAAATCAGAACAAGTATTGGGCACCGTTCTGCGTTCCAAGTTTTTGCTGCGGTACAGTAGTAAAGTATTCGATTTACATACTTGCAGGTATGAATACAGACAATATTTCCGTCCCTCAATCCGCTCTGCTGTATGCAATTCGTTCTGCAGTTCGTTCTGCAGTACTTGTTCAAATATACTGTTAAACGTGCCCGTATTTGTTGCACTCGAACTCGATAATCAACTAAAATAGCGTGAAATGCTGTTTTAAATATTATCTCTGTATTCATGACAGACTAACATCTTAAACAAGCTGCATACAATTTTGTCAACGATGTCGGAACGGTAATGTGCCATACCCGGATAACTCATGCAACAAATCTTTGTTAGTTGTAATGTACGATGCCTGGTTATACATATGCAGTAGCGTAGCCGGTGCAACGATAACCAGTGATTAAATAGGAGAATACAATATAAGCGGGGTGTCCAAACTGTCTACGTTCGTAGCCTCATTGTAAATATGCGTAAAATTATTGATGTCCCTCATAGTATAGTAGCTAAGTTTTCCAATACAGCGCACAACAGATACTTACTTTCATCCTATTTAAAATTGCTGTCACTCTATCGGCACTTTCTTCTTTAGGACAAATATGCAAAGTTGGTTAAGACCCATTACTAAGCCCTTAGTGAAACGAAATGTAGTTTCGCAAAAGATGTTTACGTTGTGATTTACATATTTCTTTAGCTGCAGTCCCTCGCAGATCGTATTTTTATGATACCTTCAAAGTCGTTTGACCGCAAAAACTATATTAGTAGATAAACATACAACTACAGAGCTAGATAATGTCAAGGATTTCTTAGATCTTTTCTAAATCATACAGCACAAACGTTGATGAATTTGAAAGACTATCAAGTGAAATATGTTCGCGATTAGTGGAAAACAAGTGGATAACTAGTGAAAATAAGAATAATTCTTTTACGATCAGATAAGATACTGATCCTGGCAGCGGAGATCACTACACGTTCAATCACCGTTCCAAAGTACGCTTGGAGACAATACAAATTTGTTAGTATGTGTCCCAACTTCCTCTCAAATGCTGCAATGGATTAAATCAAATCACGTGCTATCACGATTTAACATGTGAATATCTAGTGTCAAAACAAGAAAACGTCGCAGATAAATAGATTTCTGAAATGTTGTGGTCACGTAGGATCCTAAAGTACACACTTTGATGAAGTTTAAAGGTCAAAAAGTGAATTACGTTTGCAATTAATGAAAAACCAGTGGGAAAAAAATAGTAGCTAATCAAATCAGACAAAATACTGATCCTAAACAGTGTGGCAGCAGAAAACGTTGTACATTTGGGCAAGGTTCCAAAATATGCTCGGAGACGATTGAAAATTGGTGTGTAGGTGCCCTATATTGTACTGCCCTCTCATTTTCAGTGCAAACTAAAATTTCCATGCTGTAGTAGATTAAGTCGAAGTATGTACTATCACGATATATTATGTACTCGTTCTAGAGGTTGTATCGGAGGGAAAGCGGTTCCTGTGTGTGAGGCTCGCGCTGACCAACGTTTTCCTACCACACAATACTTCAGGTAGAATACAAAGAAAATAAGCTCTTCCAGCAAAGTGTTCTAACCAATTGCTTGTGATACCGAGTCCGTCTTGTTTAGCAGTGAAAGAGAAAGTATATGTGCATTCGAAAGATTTATTCGACCACCTATTGTGACAATCAAAACACTGTCGACAACTACAATAGAAAAGTACTTACAGGCCGCGAAACTGCTCGTGATGCCTGAGTACAGGAGGTGGCTAGTGCTAATGATACACTAATTTCTGTAATAACCGGGCCTCCACATTAGACTCTATGTTATAAACGTACTCTTAAGCAGTACGCAAACTATAAACGTACTCTTAATAGCACGAGGAACTTAAGTTTCCTAAATGGGTTTTAACGGTTTTATTAATTAATACCTTTTCCATTATACATATCAGATATTTGGACAAGGCCATTAAAAGGCCCCAGTAGAATACCAAACATAAGAGTTGGTCTAGTCCTATTAATAGAACTATATTTACTTTCCAAATTTATTTATATCTGAATACTTCGGTAGCGAGATGGCTCAACCGAATATAGTTTCTAGGGACCATTCACGTTACCTAGTTTAACCTCTGATCAGCCAACCAGATGTGCCAGTCTGATGAAGGCTAAGTCGGTAATTCTTGATAAGTGGAAAGTTATTGGTTAAGACAATAACAAAAGACATCGAGAGTATTCTCTTTTTCTTTTTACTATTTTTTCTAAAAATAGGATTTTAAGAGTCTCTCAGATTCGCCCCAACGAAACATACCCTAGTTTCTAATAGAGCGACAACGAAACATACCCTAGTTTCTAATAGAGCGACAACGAAACACTAAAAAAAATCCCTTCGGCGAAAACAGTACTGAGAGGATTATATATAGGCAATGTCTCAGCCTCACAATCCCGCAGAGTATTGCTGTTTTCACGAGGCATACCTAACTTTACTAAAAGACTCATTTCGTTTCTTTACTTTGAAATTATCACGATACTTAGATTTTACCTACGCGTTTAATTACTCTAAGGCGTTAATGTCGTCTTAATAGACCGAATCTTACATTTCTAAATTAGATGAATAGTTCAAGTGCACCAGCTCTACGTGTCAACGCTTGTGTGGTAGAGACTATTCACGGACAAACATACCGCAATATATATAAGGTGCGCATTTGACCGCTGATCACACGACAAGGTATGCAGAGAAACATATAAACAAAGTTGTTGTAATTAAAAGCAAAATAAATTTGATTGCGAACACATTCACAACCGATGGTACATTTTTGCCGCTAGAATGAAGAGCGGGGTTCAAGATGGTTCCCGATGATATTTATCTATTCTTACCGTGATCTATGCATACCGTGGGGAATGCTAAACTCGGGAATGCTAAATACGTTGTCTACCACACCATTCCACAGTGTATGACTTGAATTTTGGCAATTTCAGGGGATCACCAGAGTTTATCAGTTCTCGCTTGTGACGACATCGTGCAGGATGAGTTAACGATGCCTACAAGCAGATATTCCCAATACGTGTTAAAGCTCTCCTCCAGTGACCGGTGTACTGCTAAGTACTGAAGATACTCCCTTTTTTATGATATACGTTGAACAGCAAGTTTCATCTAAAATTAAAGAACAAATTTGAAATCTCTCGTGCGGGAGTCGCAACGCTAGACATGCGAAGCGACCGGTGATTACAATTGTGAGCACGGAGCAGCGTCATAGGGAATCTAGTGGTGCAGTGAAATTCGCGCCGATACCATGGTCCCAAAGTCGCTACCTACTTCACGAGAAGGTGGTGTGTAAGAAGCAACACCAAGCATGCTAATAACATCGATATCATGATGGCGAATGCACACGGATGAAATGGCAAGGTTGACAACAGAAACCACAAGATATATTTATCTATAATTTACTGCTTTAAGCGTTTAGAAACCCAAGTGCATGTTCGTGGTACTGGGCATATCTCGCTATGCATAGCCTGCAACAAAAGCTAGTTTATATTCACCTACACCAGGATGTATATCTACAACAAAATACACATACATGCATAAGATTGACAAAGGCCTACACGATTTTCTCCGGCTGTGCTGGTGTCTGTGATTTTTCTGGTCTCTACCGTAATTAAAGTATTTGGTTACTTGCGGTTTGCACCATAATATGAGTAGAACAATTTATGCGAGCATCCGCCTCTCGCAGTATGCAATACATTCGACAATCAAGGAAACGCCATGAGCTCCCTGAAGACCGAGTTGTAGTCGGCAATATCAGTCATTTGTACTGAAATCATATCACCACCATAGAGTTGTGGCTGCAGTTAATCTTAGAGAATAACAGAGTGTTTTTAGTGCATCATTATATAAATAAGAGATGCACCTCTGTTGCAGATGTGCAACAAAAGTTTACTTATGTGTACTTACTTACGTATATATGAGTATGTATATATGTATATAGTTACCTCTGGTGCATATCCTGGAAGTAGTCTGACCCAGGCAGCTATTTGGACGGCTGTGTCAAGGATTCCAAAGCTTGTATTTTTTTTGCTTCATTATTAAAAAATCTGTTGTTTTCTCCATGCTCAGGAAGACTTTCCCGCAAAATTATACATTATTATATTCATCGCGAGGTCTCTCTATATACATAGGGGGGGGGGGGGGGGGGGAAGACGCTACTGAATCGCTTTCTGACCTGCACCGCCTTTGTTGCATGATACCAATACAATATATAAGATGCACACTATCCGTGCGCAGTCAGAATATCCCTCAAATCATGAGTTAGATTTCTCACGCTTCACAGATTTGGTCGAGATGTTCTTCAGGCCCAGACTTAAATTAAATACTATCTGCTTTCAACTTCACGAGCTCATAGATCATAGTACCCGGTGTTGCCATCTTAAGCATCCCAAATGCGTTGATCATATTTTGCAGATCCCCAGCCCAGTTGTACAAGTTGAGTTCGGCATCTCTCGACCCCCCACATATTTTTGCCGCCAATCATTCGAGCTCATGCCAAGACCGTATTATTAAGTCTATCGGTTAGGTCGTACGGAGTACAGTGTACTATGCTCGCGAGTAGCCACTCACAGCTTTAGTCATCTATGTGCTTGCTCTTGCCACGCCAGAAATACTTTGAGAATCAAACACATAGTTGGTCAAAGAACCGGCATATCTTCAGTGGTTCTGCGACGTTTACAAGGCGTTCACAGAATGACTTCATTTTCTGCAGATCCCCCGTTCATTTTAAAAGGAGTGATGTTCATTGCCTCTAGACCACACCATTCAAAGTTATATATGCCAAGCAGGTGTTGTCAATCTATAGGTTACATTGTAAGGACTAGTGAATGTGCAGCTTCGTATTATTTTCACAATTGTTGTTTGTGCTTTGTTGTATTCTACAATGGCCCAGTACGGAGCACAAATTTCTCGTGAGTCCCTAGATATGTCAGATAAATCTACAGACGGCCTGAATCGAAAACTCATTCATTTCGCCACTCACGTTTACAGGCATAAAACATAAGGTGTCTGAAGGGCCTACCACACCGAGTTGTTAACTTTTCA